TTTAAGCTTATTAGCTACTCTTTTCGAAATTAGTTCTACGAGGGATCCGCTATCGATTAGTGACTTAGTTAATTAGATATTATCTATCTATACGGTAACGAATATCGGTACTAACTATCTATTATTATCTAATATATCTATTAGAATAGTAGGCGCGCTTATAAGGCTACCTCGGTTTATATAGTAATTATATCGGTTATCCTTTATCCGAGTAATAATTAGTTAGATCGCCTATCTAGCTAGAATACCTATCTCCTATTAGATACGTACCCTCCGTACTCTAAATCTAGGTACGGAGTCCTATAAATACTAAGTAAGCTCTTTACGCGTAGCCTCTAATCGGTTAAGTAGTTATACTAGTAATAAAGTAATATCCGTATTTCGTAACGCGTTTAGGATCGAGAATCTCTTATTTATCCTAATAGCTCTAATCGGGCTTAGTACTTTTAGGGGGTCCGTATTAATTTAGACTCTCTCTCTCCTAAATATTATCGTTACCGTTTTATACCCTAGATAGTTACCTAATAGTCCTCCTATTTATTTATAAGTACAGAGGTTACGTTAATCCGCTTAATACGCCTAACTTCCTATTAGTACGATTAGAATAGACGGCCCTAAGGTAATACTCTAACTACCTATAGTTCTAGGCGAATCTTTACGTATCGCTTCTATTCGATTATATCTCTAAAACGCTTCTACCGGTTAGAATACTTATATCGCGGTTTCTTTAGTAATCCGATTAATTCCACTCGGTCTAATTTAAGAGGGACCCTCTCTACGTAGAGTAGCTTAGCGCCTTATACCGGTATCCTCTACGTTTTCTCTTATAGGCTACTTCCCTTTACTAACGCTAGATTAACCTAGACAATTAGTAGTATTAACCTAATCTTAACCTATAGGTATTACGAATATTACGGACGATAAGGAACCGTTTCCTATTAAGTCGTCCTATTTTCTTAATATCCCCTTATTATTAAGGTTCTTAGGTCGAGTTAGTATAGTTTATATAATAACCGCCGGTAGACCTACTAATCGCGGTAATCCTATCCTTTAGATAGTATACTAGTTTATATAGTGTCCTATTTCTTAGCACTTCTAGTATTTAATCTAACTTAAATCGAGCGGGCGATAGGGATAGGATCCCTCGGGTTATCTATCCTTCGATAATCCTATAATTAGTAGTATATTCCTAGCGCTCGCTTTAATATTTTATTAGCTTCTCTATTAGTCGTTAACTAATAGTTATCTTAAACTATTTAGTATAACCGGTAGCGTTTTATATATAGCCTCGTCGAACGATACGATTTTTTCTAGTCTATCTTTAAGCGGTAATCCGTCCTCCCTAGAGTAGGCGTCGATAATTAGCTTCCGTACGGTAGTATAATTACGTTTCTCGCTCTATCTTAAATAGAAAGCGATTATCTCTCGTTTTATATTATTACGTAATCCGAGCACTACTTTTATACTAAAGAGTTCTTTCTTATCTCTATATTATACTTAGAAATTATCGGCACGATCTAGGTATTCTACTAACGTTTTATCGGTATTCTACTATATTAATTTATATTAGGCTTCTATTCGAGTAAACGTATCTATAGGATCTTCTATAGCGATCTAATACCTTTCTAGATAAGCTTTTCTAAGCTTATCCTAATTCTAACGAGTTTCGCGGCTTAATCTATTAAACTACGTCTTAGCTCTTCCTATTATATTCTATCGGAAAAGTACTCGATAGTCCTTATTAATCTAGTTAATAATAATCTATCTATCCGCTACGGTTTCTACGGATACTAGATCCTTAGTATAGTCTTTTTATATAGAACTTTTAATATCTTTAATAAAGTCCGATAGGTCCTTATATCTATCTTATAGCCCGCGGAACGGCTTAATACGAAATTACGTCGGTATATTAATATTAACGTATCTCGCCTTTATACTCTCTTCCTCTTAATATAAACTCGTAGCCCCCTCCTTAGTCTCTTCTACCTTTTTCCGGAGAGGAGGTACCGGCGTTCTTTTACCCGAGGCTTCTTCCTTACGTAGTTTCGCTAACTTAGCTTTTCTTCCGCGTTTAGGAGTTTCTCCGATTACGTACTCTCTTAGCGCTTACCTCGCGGCTACTAAATATTTAGGGTCCGCTAGGATATAGCTACCCGGTTACGCGCCTTAGCTCTCTATAAGCTACTAAATCTTTATTCGCTTACTAGGCGAATCGGTGGGATTAGGCGTTTTTAGTAGAGATACTATTCACCTCTTAACGCGGGTGTCGTTACGATTTTTTTTTTCTTTTTATCGCTATTAGCTTTTTTTTCTTAATTCGACGGGCTCCTCTAGTAGCGTTAGAGCGATCCCCCTCTAGAACCACCACTATTAACGGAAAATCTGACTAACCCGATCCACTTCGGGTCTTCTAGTCTTTTCCGTCTAAAACTAGTCCCTAGGGACCCTCTGGTTCACTAGCTCTTTAATACACGATGAATCTTGATAAATATTGAAAGAATATGATGTTATTGTTCTGGATGGCTAATTCTCCTTAATCTCTGTAAAGACTGAAAGTTCCCCGCCGAGTTGAATCAGCGGGTGGGCGGTCTAAATGATTCTGCCTAATAATAAACGTTTCGTCACCGCCTTCCGTGTGCCCGTTCTTTCATTAACAAATCTCTCCCTCAGGGAGGGGGATCCATTGATAAACGCTTTTATATAACCTATCTAGATCTTAAAGGGAAGGTACGTTAGAGGCTCCTTCCTCGATGAGCACGAATATATTAATATATCCCGGCTCCAAGAGTGACTATAAATTGCTACGGAGTATGAGGGAGAGATCTCATGTACATTGACCGTAATCTGCATACAATCCGAAGAAGCCAGTACAGGATCATTGAGTCACAAATGTAGTTAAGCATCCAGTCAATCTGAGGCCCACGTATTAGGGCCGAAAGAGCAAAACACCCAGTATAAATAGAAAGGGAACCTACTGGGGAAGGCTCCTCAAACATAGATAGAGGAGGCAGATCTCTCAATAATGTTATCCGCGTGAAGGACTAAAACTCATATTATCACTCCAGCGAGATCCAATGCAGCTTTGCATAATACATACTTTATTGTCTACAATGCTCTGATAGCACCAAAGGGATTCCAGTCAGTCTCATCAAGTGTGGAATAGTCTATTTCAATTTGGAACCACATCAAGTAAAGGGATCAAAATAGATCCAACCTATCCAACTAAGCATCGGGGGTGCAAGGTTTCGCCTAATCACGAGGATTGAGTCCACCGAGATCTTAAAGATGGGAACCCCTTAGCTACATGCACCCCCCCCGGGGCCATCCCTGGAAATCCAATCTCCTTTTCACTACGACGGGTCTTCAAAAAGCTAGCAGATCTTTGACAGGCTACATTGGTCTTTTCCCTGGATTTGACTTAAAAAGAAGAACTCTGGCTGATCAGAGGCAACCTTCGAATCCCGGATCACCACGCTGCCAAAAATCAGAAAAGCAAATTGTGAGAGACTTCCCAATGAAAGCCAACCATATCTTGAAGGTAAAAGACGAATTCGGAATACAAGCCCTCATTTTCTTCATTTCATTTTCTTATCTTGGTACTCATTGATCTCTACCTAGCTGATGAATGGCCAGACAAATGCAGGTTATGGTATAATGCAAGTCCTCCATCAAATGTCCTCCTTGATTGTTGAGATGAGGTCAAGGTCTCCGTTCGTGAAAGAAAGAAAAGAACAATCACTAATGATGATTCAAATTTAAAACAGGGCGTATGTCACAATTCACCGAACAAGGCAGGATCAGCTAGTCTCAGAAGCATGACAAGGAAAATGTTATCCAAGTTGGCGGCGAGAGAACATTCGCAGATACAAACCAGATCGTTGATTCCTCCTCCACACAGAGACATACTGAATTGAGGAGATTCGCAGAGGAACACCCGGTCGTTGATTCATCCTTCCACACAGAGACACCAAATCGAGGAGGTGCACAATCTTGCATCAACGCATTGCTATTCATATTTTATTTTGAGTCTTGGAGATCAGACTTTAATACATCCAGAAATCCACCCTCTACCATTACGTAGGTATATGTCCTCACCTTGTTTCCCTGTCTTTTGGTCCATCTAACGGCAGGTTTATCCATCGCTATTGTGAATACCAGTCTTCCATGACGACCAGCTATGGCACAGTCTGTTCAAAGTCAAAGGTATGATCCATCAGGGATTTCTGGTTAGAGAACACTGCACCAGTTTACCGTTCAACTATCTGTCAAGTCGATGAACTTGGTCTGCAGTTTGGCAACTCCAAAAATGGCTTATCAATCTCTTTAACCACTCATCCACGGCCAAACATTCTCTTTTCCAACTCTGCCACGTGCCATCTTCCATTTTTCCGTTGTTTACATCGGGGAAGGAAATTGACAGGGTGTATCCAGGTTGGAGAGGAATGGACTTTGGAAATACCCCATCCACGTTATAAGACAGAAGGTCAACAGGAATGGTTTTATTGTAACAAAATGGAAAGCAGGGTTTCTAGGCACCTGGGTACCTAATAATAACCACAGTGCCTAAATATTTCCATTACAAGATGAAAATGAAGGAATACATTTGATAGGCCCTATTTAGGGCTTAATAATCTAAGGAGTTTACCTAAGTATAGGGTGTTGTATCGTTGTCTATGAGATTGGGTTATTTTAGGGCTTAAGCCTTATTGAATAGCTAGGTAAACGGTTACATGTGATCTTGGAAAAACCTAATACAAAAAGTTTTCAAAACAGCAGTACTATATCGACCATTCTCGAGACTGTCCCCCGTGAATCAACCTGAGATATTCCAATACTGTATTGATTGTATGAAACTTGCGGCTACAGAACCAGTAACAAGGGCAGTGACGATGAATATCGGTCGACATATTTGTACAAAGCCTCTGATCACGCCCTGGATTAGATTTCAAATTATATATGTATTGACTCCTACAATCCCACGAGATCAACGAACAGGGGTTCTAAACTCGCGCCAGACCGGTACCCACCTTAGTCACACGCGCCCCGATCAACGTCAACGCTCCAGTGAGGATCGCAGATCCCATAAACATTTGGGCGTACAAGTAATCACCATCGTCGCGAACGACCAATGCACCAGCAATAGGAGACCCAATAAGGGCGGCTACTGCTACCACACTAAGCACCATGCCCATGCGCACACCAATCTTCTTCAGATCGGGAGTGAGGGTACTGAGGGTCGCGGGGAACAGCGACTGAATACCCGCAGCAAACAGACCATAAAATACAGCGAACACCCATAGTCCGGATGTACCACTGACCGCTGCCCAGCAGTACCCAACCAATGCGGTGGCAAAACTGAACGGAATCAACAAGTTGAGAGGACCGGTAAATTGGTCAGCCAGCAAATTGGGGACAAGACGCCCGACCAATCCGACTCCGTTCATGACCAAGAGTAAGTGAATGGATCGATCGCTTGACACGCCAATGATATCGCGGCTGAAGCTACCAATATAGAAGAAGCCGACATACAGGCCCCAGAAGTTCATGAACATGCCAATTGCAAACAACAGATAGGGCAATTCGGTGAAGGCTGCCCACTCGACAAGGGGACCACTTGTGCGTGGAGGAAGACGCTGCTTGAGGAATAGCACACAGGGGGTCAGCGTGGCTAGTGAGATGAAGCCAAGCGTCCGCATGGTCCAGCCATATCCAACCGAAGGCAACATCTTCATGACCACGGCTGGGAAGATCAAGCCACCCGTCGCAGAACCAGACGCAACAATCCCAATTGCGATGCCACGGTTCTTGGCAAAATAAGTCGAGATCAATGCCAATGTTGGGCAGAACATGAGTCCACACCCAATTCCCTGTCCAATGCCCTGTGCCAGGAACAGCTGCCAGTACTTTGTGCATAGCGAGGTCATGAAGATACTGAAGCATTCCAATAGAGCACCGCAGGCCAAGGTGATCTTGAAATAGCCCGCATCAGTGGCCCTACCAGAGAACGTGCCAATAAAGAACAACAAAAAGATTTGGATACTTCCTACCCAGGAGATATCCGAAGGTGGGTGTCCCAGCGTCTGAGAATAATATGTCTGGAACACGCCGAAGCTATTGATGTAGCCCCATGTATTAAAGATGACGAAATGTGCAAGCCCAACTTGCGACCATGCTTGGAACCCACCGTCTGGAGGCGGCCCAAGATCCTTTCCGGATTCCCGTGCGCGCACGATTGATAGCGTGCGGCTGGCAATGGTGGGAACGATTGATATGCGGCTGGCAATAGTAGGAATGCTTGATATGGCTTCGCAACCAGATTCTTCATCGGAGTGTCCAGTTTGATCTCCACTGGTCTCTTGAATACGTTCTTTTGAATGTTCTTTTTCCATTTTGGATAGATGTAGCAAATGTGAGTCCATAGCCCGAATAAAAAAAATCTTTAGATTTGAGTCACTATACCGGGGAGATCACCGATCGCAAAAATGGCCGAACGCGCCCTTCCGATGACCGGGTCCACTTCCGAACACATAGAATTACACTTGAGTCATATGTGTTTGGTGGTATAGGTCATCATGGACGGCCTTGCTTCCTCCGTTTGCGACATACTCAGTTAATGTATGGCGTCTCTCGGGACACACCTAGGTTACCTAAGGTATGTATCCTATCTCCACAATTAATATGACCGTCTGGGGTCCCCGCAATAGGTGTCTCGGATAAAACCTCACACTAACATGTAAACTCATTTTAATCTTGAAGATGAAAAAAAAGATATCAGAAAAAGATATATATATATAAAAAAAAAAAAGATTCAATGATCCTGGTTAGCGCTAAATAACATCTGAATTGATCCAATGACATCGGCCGGTTCCAACAAGTGCCAACTAGCATCGGTCTGCTTTGAGCTGGCGCCCACCGTGACCGAGTAAACGTGATCGCGTGGTAGTTCAAACTTATTCAGTGCCCGGAACATATCTATCGTTCGTTAGTCACCGAGCGGGATCGGAAAGGAAAATATATATATATATACCTTCATCAGTAAAATCATCACCCAGACATAGAATAAATTCCGGTGCTTTCCCTGGGGCGGTGCCATATTCATTGACCAACCGAGTGGCAATAAATCCCTTATTCACAAAGGTTGGCCGGACCTCCAGATTGGCCTTGCCCGCCATGACCTCTACATCCCAACGCTTGGCAACGGTGTCTTCCAAGGCTTTTCGGCACTCACGAGCCTGGAATGCACCATATTCCGGGTCTGCGCGACGATAGTGCCAGGTCAATGCCACCCGTTTCCGTTCAATGAACGAACCCTGGGTTCGCTCTGTGTAATGTTGGAACACTTCGACAACTTCCTTCTGCCATCCCATGTTGCTGCTTTCGGCCAGGTTCTCCCAATCCTCTGATCCAGGTTTGCGGATAAAACAGCCATGCTCGGCACTCAATCCAAGCTCGGGAATATGGCCCATCCATTCATCCAGGAAAGCCTGATCGCGTCCGCTGATAATCCACACGGCATTGCGTGGGTCCGCTGACAAGCTCTTCAGAGTACGAAGTACCCGGTCTGAAGGGATGGCCGCCTGAGGATCCTTGACGATTGGTGTCAATGTGCCATCGTAGTCGAACATGAACAGTCGTCGACGAGCCTTGCGGTACTGCTTCATTAGTTTTGCACGATCAAGTGCGGGGGTCGCAACGGATTGGTCAAATGACGAAAGGTTGGTCAGTAGGCGATTTAGGTACTGGCGGGACCACATAGAAACCGTGTTGGTGGCAACATGTTTGTATAACTTCAAATGTTGCTCCTTCCGCTGTGCCGCAGGCATAATCAATGCTTCATTAATCGCACCAGCCACACCAACAAGATCCCACGGGTTGATATGAATGGCATTGGGCAGAGTGCCCGCTGTACCGGAGAATTCAGAAAGAATCAAAGGGCTGTGGTTGGTTTGTTGACAGACAATATATTCCAAACTTGTTGTGTTCATACCATCTCGTACTGTGGTGATCAGTCCAACATCTGCTACGCGCAACAGAGCGAAATACTCGCGCGGGGACAAGTATTGGGGATAGTATTGGACAGGCGAGAAACTCAAAGAGCCGAACCTTCCGTTTATAGTCGAAACCAAATTGGATATTTGGCCAGCAATCTTATTGTCGGGGTCCTCCTTCTCCTCCTCTACGCTGGTAGGACTCGTCACCTGGATGAGAACGACTTTATCACGCCATTCTGGATAGCGTTCCAGGAACGTTTCGAATGCCTGTAGTTTCTGCGCGACACCGCGAACACTATCCAGCCGATCGCGACCGACAATGATTTTCTTCCCGGCATAGAGCTTGCGAATGCCCACCACAGTCTTCTCGATATCTGGAGCCCCAAAGGCAGCCTTCTGAATCGAATAGACATCAATGCCAATAGGGAAGACATCCACTGCAACGTGAGCCCCATAAGCATCAACGCCGGCAGAGTTGGACTCAAAGCCCAGAACACGTGTGCAGCATGAGGTAAAATGCCGAGAGTAGGAAAACGTTTGGAACCCAATCATGTTAGCGCCCAGCACTCCTTCCAGAATCTCCTTGCGCTTCGCGAGACACCGGACAAATTCGCTGCTGGGGAAAGGTGAATGCAAGAAGAAGCCCACGTATATATTCGGGATACGTTGTCGTAGCAGACTGGGTAGGAGGAACAAGTGATAATCGTGGACCCAAACCACATCTCCCTCCTGGTATTCCTGCACAATGCGATCCGCGAACAGTTGATTCAGGCGAACATAGTCCGCCCACCATCGTCGCTCTGATCGGCCATCTGTGGGGCCATGTTGCTTGTAGTGGAGTAGAGGATATAGCTCACGTTCGGCATAGCGGCGCCATCTTCCTTGATCTTTCAATAAAATGGTCTCTTCTGGTTCCTCGGACGCATCTGACAGCCACACGGGCAGTATACGGCCATGACGACCAGAACTCAGTTGTTCATCGAGTCGCTCTCGATCCTGTTGGGTGACACTTATCCCCTCTACCAATGGATGTGCGGGTGGCTTTTTGGTGCCATCCACGGGAACTGGGGCAGCGGCCTTGTTCATATGATTCGAAACTGGCTGGTGAACGTCTACATCGGGCTCAACCTCTCCAGTCCAGCCTACCAGGGTGTGTGCCCAGGTAGTCTCACCCGATGCAAGATATGCAAACGAATCGAACAGCGCCGATGTGCCGGAGCGTGACTTGAGCGTCTGTTGGGATTAGCCAAATGTCATCAAACAAGAGAGAAAATTCCAGCACACACCCAGTCCGATCCCGATTGGAAGTTGAGCTTATAAGGTATGCAGAAAGCGGCGCTAATCAGGCGGCCGCTCAGACGTAGTCCTGGGTGCTGTACACGCGGATCAATCTCGGGAGACGTAGGAGAGTCCGAGGTCAAGCTCAATCGACGCAGCAGCTCCATGCCAGACGGCTCTTTCGCAGCTTCTTGCTGGGAAGTGTCGGTTCCAGCCTCAAGGTTGAAGTATGAAGGGGCCTCGCTCGAGATATTCGGTAGACTAGGTGTTGCATTGGTTGCATCGGTATATGCTTCTTGTTTGAGGGCTTTCAACCCTGGCCCAACCAAGATGGGGTTTGGCTGGTCATCGGGCACCTGCGCGGGGCTCTCTTCGGACATCGTGGGGGTTGTAGAGGGGGGATAAGGACAATAAGCAGTCGGCACGGACAATTCACCCCTACAATCGACGGGTAAAACAGATAGAAGGGGCGGTGAGATGAAGCCACTCTAGCTGACCGGTTCCCCAAACAAAAAAAACCCCCAAATCCTGTAGCAGCATGAATGAAGATATCTCAGTGCTACGTCACTTCTACCTGACAGAAAGAATGCCCAGCTGTTCCTGCCTGAGGCGTCTAACCTGGGATAGTAACGCAGGCATACCCGGAGTCCTCTCCCGCACTCGCCTCGGTGATGCTGACATGCGACTTTCAATTCCTCGATCATTACGTCTACGTTCCTTTCACTCCAGCTCTATTGCGGCAGCCAGGGCCCCCGATGTCTTCACCAACAGCCTCCGAAAAACTCTGGAAGCCCACCGATCAACAAATCGGTCTCGTTTGATCCGAAAAACATTTCCAATCGAAGATCCTGCGGGACTTTGGCGACCTGAGATTCCGTCCAAAAAACAACCATCATACGTCTATCCAGTCGACACCCCCAGCAAGCAGAAGAACAGAAGCGATCCAGCCGCAGAAAAAGCGATCCAAGGAACATGTTATCCACAAAGTCCATGGCTGAGAAATCTTGACTTGCCTCGCACCGACGCTGAATCCACGTTGGACACAGAAATTCGAGCATTGGAACAATACCTGGCCCTAAATGCCCAGGAAAAAGACCATGTAGAAAAGCTCAAGATAAAAATAGCCTCGCTCCTCAAAGCAGTGGTCCCCCATACCCCAAAGGTCATTGGATCGCACTGCACGGGTCTTGCACTGGCACACTCGACCCTTGACTTTATCATACCACATGAAGACCCTGCTCGATCACTAGACCGTGATCGAAGACCGAGCCCCACGCGGCCTCAGATCCGAGACGCCCATTTCCGTCTCCTCCGCCAAGTGGAAAAGGTTCTCCAGCATGCCGATGCATTCGCCACAATAGACTTGCAGCAAAAGTCTGCGCTGTCCGTTCGACACCGGCCAACTGGACTGGTTTTGCAATTTTACTGTGGTGAGGGTATTCCTGCCATTACAGAGTACCTACAAGATTATCAGGTCGAATATCCCGCCTTGCGACCTCTGTATGCAGTAACACGCACGTTGTTGGAGGCGCGCGGCCTTTTTGGGTCATCGCAGGCAAGCATTGGACCAGATGCGCTGGCCATGCTCATTGTGGCGTTCTTGAAGATGAACCATGGCCGATTTCCCGGTCCCAATAGACTGGGAGACCAATTTCTTGCTCTTCTTCAATTTTACGATACTCAGGTGAACATCCAGTCTGTCGGTATTGCCGTGGATCCTCCCAGTATATTCAGCGCAAGCACGTTGCCTGCGATCTCTGACGCTGATGAACCTGCTCACTTGCGCGGCCAGCGCTCTCTGATCAGCGCCAAATGTACCGCTGCAGCGAAGCGAAACGTGCCTGTCGCACAACGATTGTGCATACAAGACCCTACCCATTACCTGAATGATTTAGGCCGATCGTGTACTCGAACATCTGAACTACAGGGTGCATTTGCAGATGCTCATCAGCAGCTTCGTCGCACGTGCGATGAATGGACCGACACCAGTTTCAAAGGTTCGAGTATACTCAGTACCGTTCTACGGGCTAATTTCGATGAATTAGAGAAGATGCGGAATAAAAATAGCATGTAGTCAAACAGTAATCACCTACGAAGTACGGAGTATAAATTAGAAAATTTCCAAGAAATCACTTCTCTCCTTTGTCCCTACTGGTGCCCCACCCACTTGATTAATAAGTGCTTAACGCGCGACGCGACTTCCACTGATCAACCGCTAAAATGCCGTCTCTGAAGCGTATGGATAGGCCAGTCATGAGTTCTTCGGTACGAATCCATCAGATATAAAGTCCAAGAGCTAATGCGACGCAGAGAAAGCGACAGCGAACGAACTCCTCACCCGCCCAGTCCTCGCCAGCCTCGCCAGTCTCGTCGGACGCCCCGAACTCCGTTCTCGTAGTCAACGATGCCGCTCTTATAGACGATGAAGACGAGCTAGAGCTCCGCCAGACCCAAATCATTCAAGAAAAATACTCCCACCTGATCGACGAAGCGAACGTTCCCGCCGAACATGGAATTCTCGAACGCGTAGAGTGCTACAACTTCATGTGCCATGATCATTTCTACGTGGAGTTGGGGCCCCTTATCAACTTCATTACTGGAAAGAATGGCAGCGGCAAGAGTGCAATCCTGACAGCGATCACTCTTTGTCTCGGCGGTAAAGCCTCGGCGACAAACCGTGGCCAGAGCTTGAAGAACTTCATCAAAGAGGGGAAAGAGAACAGCACTATCATCGTTCGCATCAAAAACCAAGGCGATGGCGCTTATCTGCCAGATGACTTCGGCAAGACGATCATTGTTGAGCGTCACTTCTCTCGAAGCGGCACGAGCGGGTTCAAAATCAAGTCAGAGAATGGGCGCATCGTCTCGACGAAAAAGTCAGAGCTAGATGCGATCACGGACTACTTTTCTCTGCAGATCGAAAACCCTATGAATGTTCTTTCGCAAGACATGGCCCGGCAGTTCTTGAGTACATCAAGCCCAGCTGAAAAATACAAATTCTTTGTCAAAGGTGTCCAATTAGAACAGCTTGACCACGACTACCGGCTGGTTGAAGAGTCCCTTGACTCCATTGAGGAGAAGCTCAGAGGCGCAGCTCAGAATACACAGGTCTTCGAGAACCGTAAGGAAATAGCTAGGAAAAAACTCGAAATCTCTGACCAGCATGATTCTCTGCGAGCACGGGTCAGAAATATCCGAAGCCAAATGGCTTGGGCTCAAGTCGAAGAGCAAGAAAAGGTGAGCCCCCTCCCTCTCGTTCAGTTAAAATGTGGTAGCTCAACATCCTAGATCGAATTATCACTCGCCGAACAAATTGCCGATGCAGGCCAGAAAATTGCCGATGCCGAATCCCAGCTCACTCGATTTGATGCAGCGTTTGATGAGGTGGCCGCAGAGGAGACATCCGCTGGAGAACATTCCTGGAGAGCTGCCGTGGCAGTCACTACGGCCCAAGATGAAAGGGACAAAACAAAGGAAAGATTGGATACTGAGATAGCTAGACGACATGATCTACAAGTGCGTACTTCCAACCCATATTTTTTGGTTTGTTTATTAACAGGCAGAAAAAAAAGGCAGAAAAGCGCCAAATCAATGAATATATCAAAGCAGCGAAATCTAGGATACAAGAAACCCAGCAAAAAGTCGACGATGAAAACCGGCGTCTCGCTGATGTGAGCGATGGCGGCTATGCTCGAAAACAAGACGAGTGTGAACATGCAGTCAATGAGGCTGCCGCTGCTCGAAGTGAATATGAAGAGCATCGCAAAGGTGCCGCTACCCTACGTGAAGATGCCGAAGCTTCCCAAAGGGACCTCTTAGAAGCGAGAGGCCCACGCGAACGCAAAAAGGAAGAAATTGACCAAGCAGAGAAGCAATTGGAAAATCTCACCAGAGAAGGCGGATCAAGACAGTCACTCCCAAAAATGACCGCACTTCTCAGAGCCATTCAGCAAGAAAAATCTTTCAAATCACCTCCTGTCGGCCCAATAGGCCATCACGTCACTTTGCTAAATCCAAAGTGGTCATCTATCCTAGAAAGGATGTTTGGTGGCACACTTACTGGCTTCATCGTCTCGTCCAAGAGTGATATGGATCTTCTTTCCAGGGTCATGAAGCGAGTTCAGTGGTGAGTTTGTCTAATAACAAGAAAAAAGGAAAAAAAGCTCACCTGATAGCAACTTTCCAATCTTCATTGGCTCTGGTGGTCATTTAGATACATCGGCACATGAACCAGACTCTAAGTATGACACTGTCTTGCGAATACTTCAGGTAACTCTCCCCTCTCCCCACCCTAGGCCCCGCCTCTCGCTTCGTGCTGACTTTCCAGATCGATAACGAATTAGTGCGGCGACAACTGATCATTAATCATGGAATTGAACAAATTCTGTTGATCGAGAATGTGAAAACTGCTTCCTCTACGCTCTTCGACGGTGCACGACCAAGAAATGTCAAACGGTGTTACTCCATCGATGCACAAGATCGTCGCCGAGGATTTCAATTATCGTACAGTCGAGCCGGAGAACCGAGTCAGGCTCCCGTTTCGGGGTGGACAGAAGCCCCGCGCATGAAATCCGATGTGGCCTTGCAAATTCGGTAAGTCCCTACCCATCCGACATTGTACTTTAGCTAACCAACTTGCAAGGGCACAACGTGATATTGTTGCCGACCTCAAGCGCCAACAGAGTGAGATTGAACAAGACATATTAACTGCCTGTTCACGTGCCGAGGCCTGCAAGCAGGCGGTGGTCCGACACGGAAGAACCGAAAAAGAGTTGCTGTACCAAATGCAACGAATGGCAGAGCGTGCCGAAGAACTCAAAGACGCCTTAGATAAAGAGAACGCCGAGGATGGACGCATCGATGCACTGCAGGCAGCTCTCAGGGAAGCCGAGGAAGAGCAGCAGCTCAATGAGGGATCATTGAACGATAGCGAGGCAGCCATGGGAGCCATGATGCAGACCCTCAAAGAAATTCGGCGAGAACTCTCCGCCCAAGACGCTGATCTTCTGACCCTCCGAGAAAGATTAAATGTTGCTGAAAGCGAGCAGAAACTTGTGAAAATGAAACAAACCAAAATACTCGACGAGAAGAACGAGGCTGTTGCGCTCATCGACCGAGATAAACAGACAAAGGTTGCAATTGAGACGAGAAGAGACCAAGTCAAAGCGCGGGTTCTCGAATACAACGCAAAAGCCAGCATGGTCTCACCTCGAGTTCCCGTGGACGAAGGAGAAACACCCGCGAGCTTGGATAAAAAGCTTGATAGACTAGGCCGGGATCTAGAACGCTATAACTTGGAGTATCTCTCGCTCTCTATCTTGTCCATTTGCTATAAACTAACACTCATACAGGTTGGGAAGTTCTCGTGAGGAAATTGCTGCAGAGGCAACAAGAACCGCTGCTGCTTATAATCGATCTTTGCAGCAACTTGAACAATTTTCCGCATTGAGTCAAGTAGGTCCTCCACCTCGCTTGTCCCCTTTAGCTACCCTAACGTCTTCCTAGGCTCTCAAAGATACCCTCCAAAATCGCAAGAAGCGATGGGAGATCTTCAGATCTCACATCTCATCCCGGGCCAAGGCCCAATTCACCTATCTCTTGAGCGAGAGAAGCTTTCGTGGTCGGCTTCTGGCTGATCATACCAATAAGCTTCTAGATCTACAAGTCCGATCCCCCTGTCTCCTTAATGTTTTTTCTCTTCACTAACTTACCTAGGTTGAGCCTGACATTACCAAAGACGACAGCACCGGGAGAGGTGCGAAGACATTGTCCGGTGGAGAAAAATCATTCTCGCAAGTCTGCCTCTTATTGTCTTTATGGGAAGCAATGGGATCTCCGATCCGCTGTCTTGATGAATTGTATGTGTTTCCTGGACATTTTGATTGGTTATTTGCTGACTTTCTTAAGTGATGTTTACATGGATCATATCAACCGCAAGATGGCCATTGATATGCTTGTAAGGAACCCTATAACCCTTGTAAACAAAACAATACTAATTTCCATCCTAGATGGGCGCCGCCAGACGATCGATCGGGCGACAGTTTATTTTGATCACACCTGGTAGCAAGACCGACATCACCATCTCTGCAGATGTCATGGTGAAGGAGTTGGCAGAGCCAGAGCGTGGTCAGACGACATTATCTTTCCGTTAGCAGTTAGTTATCATTAATGTAATCCACGTGACGGGACCGTTTTAGCTTCAAACCTCTTCGCTCCCCGCCATACCTAAAGACTCAACCCTTCCACTCCAAATCTGATCTTTTATATTATCTGTGAACTCTCTCCACAATTTCCTCTTTCCTTGGTCTTCACGCAGATATTTTGTCTCACCCTCCCACCTCACCCCCCACCTCACCCTCCAGCCTCACACCTCCAGCCTCACCCTCCCACGCACCTCGCACCTCGCCCTCCCAGCTCACCCTCGCACCTCTCACCCTCACCCTATCGTCATAATGGCCGACGCACTTGCTACACAGCTCGGTAATACTAAGCTGTAAGTCAATCGCTCACGAATGTTCATGCTCAATTAGATCTGACTTTGACCAGGGAAGCAAATCCAGAACAAAGACTGCAAGACACATTGAATCTTCCCCCTAAAGATTCCCGCCCACAAACCGAGGTGAGCTTCCTATTCCTCCCACGCCTCTTCTATTGCTCAACAACTGACTCGATACTAGGATGTCACTGCTACAAAAGGCCTTGAATTTGAGGACTTCTACATTAAACGTGAACTCATGATGGGCATCTTTGAGGCTGGATTTGAAAAGCCCTCCCCTATCCAAGAAGAAACGATACCTGTTGCTCTGACAGGCAGAGACATTCTGGCCCGAGCTAAGAATGGTACTGGAAAGACCGCTGCCTTTGTAATTCCCACCCTTGAGCGCATTAACCCCAAAAGCACAAAGACCCAGGCCCTGATCCTGGTCCCCACACGAGAGCTCGCTCTCCAGACATCACAGGTCTGCAAAACCCTTGGTAAACACCTAGGAATCAATGTTATGGTCACTACTGGTGGAACTGGCTTGATGGATGACATTATTCGGCTGAACGACCCTGTCCACATTTTGGTGGGAACCCCTGGACGAGTGTTGGATTTGGCCAGCAAAGGTGTCGCCGACTTGGCCGAATGCCCAACCTTTGTGATGGATGAGGCCGACAAATTGTTATCTCCCGAATTTACCCCGGTCATTGAGCAACTTCTGTCCTTCCACCCCAAGGACCGCCAGGTCATGCTCTTCAGTGCCACTTTCCCTCTGATTGTGAAGTCGTTCAAGGACAAGCACATGCGCAATCCTTACGAGATCAATCTCATGGATGAACTCACCTTGAGGGGTATCACCCAATATTACGCTTTTGTCGAGGAAAAACAAAAGGTTCACTGCTTGAATACTCTTTTCTCCAAGCTCCAGATCAACCAGTCGATCATTTTCTGCAACTCAACCAACCGTGTTGAACTGCTGGCCAAAAAAATCACCGAACTCGGCTACTCGTGCTTTTACTCCCATGCTCGGATGCTTCAGCAGCACCGCAACCGGGTCTTCCATGACTTCCGCAACGGCGTATGCCGCAACCTGGTTTGCTCCGACCTGTTGACTCGTGGTATTGACATTCAAGCGGTCAACGTCGTGATCAACTTCGATTTCCCGAAGAACGCAGAAACTTACCTTCACCGTATCGGTCGTTCGGGCCGTTTCGGACACTTGGGTCTTGCGATCAACCTCATCAACTGGGAAGATCGGTTCAATCTGTATAAGATTGAACAGGAATTGGGTACTGAAATTCAACCCATTCCTCAGAACATTGACAAGAAGCTTTATGTCTACGATTCACCAGAGAACATCCCTCGACCCATCTCCAACCCTCCACCTCAAAGTGGTGCTGGGTCCGTGAATATGAACGGAGAACGTCAGCCTCGTCGAAACAACCACACGCAGCATAGTGGTCAACCCGGTCAACAACACGGTCAATACTACAACAATCGGGGGCGTGGATCTTATCGTGGTCGTGGACAGGGCCAACGCCGCGGGGCACACAACGACGCCAACCGGATCACCTTTGGTCAACCAAATCCGAGTCAATCCCAAGCGCCGATCTCTTAACCAACTTCCCTATCCCTGCGCTTCGTTCCTTCTCCGCTCTATGAAATGTTGCCGGGGCTATCCCGGCATTGATTATCTGGTCATCATGATACGGGAGTTCAATGTATCATATGTCTTTTCCGTTCTGGCCTATAATCGATGAAAATGCATTTTCGGCGTTTCTTGTTTTTTTTGGGGGGGGGCTGTATTCTTTTTATCATTGTGCAGTTGTTGGGTCCGGCGTTCCAAGTGACAAGCGACATTCCCCTTTGGAGTTTTCTCCAAGTTTACCCTCAAACTGTGCGATCAACACTTCCAGTTGACACCAAGACTTATGAAAAAGACCAAAAAAAAAGATTGGAGGAGCACTAGTTGCTGAACGTATCTAGGTAGATTCAGCTAGTGAAATGGACAAAATCCCTCCAATATATTCTCCGAGTAATCAAATAATAAGTGTTGGCGAGATTGGCACGTGCCGGGGGCCGTGTGGTCTCCGATGTTCGGCGCCTGCAACTTTCTCCAAACAACCATAAAATGTCGACGGTGGATAAGGATCAGAAGGCAAAGGTTTGTTCTAGCATTCAATTCAATTCAATTCAAAGCTCACCAATGGATAGCCCAGCGCCCTCCGCTCCATCCTTGCGGGATCCACTGCTGGAGCCGTGGAGATCGGTAAGAGCTCCCGTAACACTTTACAGAGTTGCTAGCTAATCATATACTACAGCGATCACATATCCCGCCGAATGTATGACTCCCTTCCAATGCCACTTTCAAAGAATCCTACTAACCTTGTGTAGTTGCGAAGACCCGGACCCAACTCAATCGCCAGCTTGCTCACGGTCAAAAGCTACCATGGCCGCCCTTCGGCAGTCAATGGTACGCAGGATGTACAACGCTGATTATTGGGAACTCGCTCAAGGCTGGAATTCGTACGTTCCTCATGACGCTCATCTATACCATTTGCTGATACATATAAGGATTTGTCGCTTTCGATGCTATAAAATCAGTTCTCCAGGATGAGAACGGCAAGATCTCAGGGCCAAGGACGGTTGTCGCTGGATTTGGTGCTGGGTTCACCGAGTCTCTTTTGGCCGTGACTCCCTTCGAAAGCATCAAGACTCAATTGTAAGTTCACGCTCTTTATCCCCCTTTGGCAGGTCCTTCTCTGACCCGGTTAATAGGATCGATGACCGGAAATCCCCCAATCCTCGAATGCGTGGTTTCTTGCATGGTAGCAAACTTATCTTCAAGGAAAGGGGTGTCAAGGGCTTCTTCCAAGGCTTTGTGCCTACTACAGCAAGACAGGCCGCCAACTCGGCAACCCGATTTACAGCCTACACGACGTTGAAGCAATTTGCGGAGGGCTATACGGCGCCCGGAGAAAAGTTAGGCACTGCAGCCACTTTTGGTATTGGTGGAATTGCGGGTTTTATCACTGTGTAAGCTTATTGATCTCCCTGGAGTTGACAGGCTAAAACTAACATTGATCAGTTACGTGACACAACCATTGGACACGGTCAAGACAAGGTATGGATTCCCCCACACATACGATACATTATGTGACTAATAGCATCAGAATGCAATCACTCGAGGCTAGCAAGCATTATAAGAATAGCATTGTTTGCGCAACTCGGATCGTCAAAGATGAAGGTGTCCTCACTTTATGGTCCGGCGCCATGCCACGACTTGCAAGGTTGATCATGAGTGGAGGAATCGTATTCACCATGTTCGTGGCAGAACCCCCCAAAAAGTCCATAATGTACAAATGTGCTAACTGCTTGGACAGGTATGAAAAGGCTATGGACGGTTTGGATCTCTTGGATCCGGAGCGAAAGTATTTATAGATCAAAATGGGCAATTATATGTTATACATCAGTATCATTCTCCTTTCTCACGTTGCAGATCCTCTGCAATCATTGCCTCGACTTCGTGATCAGCCATCCAAGTCCGTACATTTTCCATCACACTGTCCAATCCATCACCACCATCAAGTACGCCATCCAGGTTGTGAATTGTGAGGCCGGTGCGATGGTCGGTGCAACGACTTTGACCGAAATTGTAAGTTCGAATCTTATCGCCTCGGCCCATTTTGGCCACACCACCCAGGATACCTCTTCGGAGCTGCACAAGCTCTTGCTCGCGGGCTTCCTGTCGGGCTTCAGCCAATTTGGCCCGCAGCATCTGCCATGCCTTTCTCCGATTGGCCTGCTGAGACCGTTCATCTTGCATGGAAACCACCGTATTGGTAGGGATATGTGTCAGTCGAATGGCGGACTCTGTTTTGTTCACGTGTTGCCCCCCAGCACCTCCGGCCCTCATTTTTTCAACCCGGACCTCTTGAGGATCAATATAATAGTCGCTGGTTGGATCTTCAAAGTTCAAGGCACTGTCCATCTCGCTACCGTTTTCTGGGAAACTCGGCAGGACCATCACACTAACTGCGCTGGTATGGGTGCGACCCTTGGTCTCCGTTGCGGGCACTCTCTGCACTCTATGGACCCCTGATTCGGTCCGTAGGATATCATAAGCCCCATCAGCTTCAACTTCAATGACTGCTTCACAAAGACGGTCTTCCGACGGGCCGACCTCTGTGTCCTGCTTCAAAATGGTTGGTCGGAGGCCCTTTCGGGAGCAAAAAGCAATGTACATCCGCAACATCTCAAAAGCAAACAAGCCTGCTTCATCTCCCCCTGCCCCTGGTCGGATTTCAAGCAAGCAAGGTAGGTCGGCAAATGGGTGTCGCGGAATGAGAGCCTTTTTCAGTCGGTCTGATATTGATGGAAGGGCATCATGACTGCTCTCGAGGTCCTCTGTTGCTAGAGATCGCAGTTCAGCATCGGTACTAGGATCAGCTAGAAGAGATTTGAGCTCCGCAATAGACTAAGAGAGAAAAAAATCAGTGTGACTCCAGGTACGGAGTTTCCAAGGTGCATACATCGTTGGCTTTGACCCATTCATTCAAGACATTTGTAATTGGTGCCAATTCTCCAGCTCGCTTGGCGGTTTTTGCGTCAAACGACTCTCCCAATCGTTCCGAAAGTTTTGCGTGTTCGGCTGCGAGTAAACGAGCTCTGGTTAAAAGAGCCGGAGACAAGGCGGAATCGGATGCTTTTTTGTTCGCATTAGCACCGATCAGAAAATCGACCAAATCTGGTCTTTACCAGTATGTATGCCTCGCAATGGCAGTAAATTCAGAGGCCTAGGCCGGAGGATACTTCGACATATTGACTTGACCAGCATCCTTCGAGATCAGTAATGGGAGTCCAAATTCCTTTCGGAGCGAAAGCGATTCGTGACACAAGTCCATGTCACATGACGGTAACGGAACGTTACGAGGCGTAAAGGCCACGGAGTATGCGGCCAGCTTTCAGGCTCCTTGGTCTTTATTGATCTCTGCTCTGTCTCTCTGTTCCTATCTTGACCTGGGTTTTGGATTATGTTCCTATCCTTGCATTCCTAGGGTGACTGCCTCATTTTTTGAACCAACTCTCCTCCCGCTACTACTGCGCATCTCCCTCTCTCCCCGCAACAATGCTCGTTTCTTTGGAATTACTAACAGCCTTTCTGGCTTGTTGTTCGACTGGATATGCCTTTCAAATTCCTACAGATATACCTCTTTCTGAATTGATTTCTTCTGCAAAAGCCCACCTCGCACAGGGCTCACCCCGAGATGCCGTGGTATACTTCGATGCCGCCGTCGCGCGCGATCCAACCAACTATATCACCATCTTCCAACGAGGCGCGGCTTATTTGTCTATTGGAAAAAATTCCCAGGCCTCAACCGATTTTGATCGAGTTCTTGAACTCAAACCGGACTTTGAGGGCGCTCTTCTACAACGATCGCGTCTAAAAGCACGCTCGGCCCACTGGCAGGAAGCTTTGCAGGATCTCGACCGGGCTGGGAGAAAATCGACTGACGATTACAAGGAATTAGAAACTGCGCGTGATGCAGCCACCTTGGCTCTTAACGCTGAAAAGCAGGGCGCCTGGGAAACCTGCGTCTCGGAGGCAAATGTTGCCATCTTAAAGGCAAATACGGCCTTACCCCTGCGGCAGGCTCGAGCCCGCTGTCATTTTGAAAGAGGCGAGACGGAAGAAGGGCTCAGTGATTTGGCACATGTCCTGCAAATGTCCCCAAGCTTAGTTGAGCCTCACTTGCAAATGTCGTCCATGTTATTCTACTCCCTGGGAGATAGTGACCGTGGCCTTGCTCAAATCCGCAAGTGTCTGCATGCCGATCCCGACTCGAAACCTTGTAACCGTCTCTATCGACGCGAGCGGAAGCTTGCTAAGCAACTCGAGAAATTGCATGTTGCCCTGGGGGCGCGCAAATTCAGCAATGCCGCAAACCTCATGGTGGGCGACAGCGAATCCAGTGGTCTGATTGCAGACATCAAGACCGATGTCGAAGAGGCAAGGCAAGCTGATCATATCCATCGCCTGGCACCAAACAATCTTTATACATTCTTGATCGAGAAAACCTGCGAGGCTTACCGGGAAGTGAGTAAACCCACATCATACGTGCTTTTTTTTTGACCCTCCAATGTTAACACACTTAGATGCGTATGATCAAAAAGGCTGGCCCTTATTGCGCTGAGGCTGTCCAACTTGTTCCTCACTCGCTTGCCGGACTCTTATATCAGGCCCAGATCGCTTTGGATGAAGATCGATTCGAAGATGCCATACGCACACTTGATTCGGCCAAGGAACACCACCCTAGTTCTCAAGAAGCACAATCTCTCCACCAAAAGGCCCAGACTCTACTTAAGCGTTCCAAGCAAAAGGACTACTACAAAGTCCTGGGGATCAGCCGAGATGCGGATGATCGGACGATCAAACGCGCATATCGCCAACTAGTGAAACAACATCACCCTGACAAGGCCCATGCCCAAGGTGTAAGCAAAGAAGAAGCAGAGAAGAAGATGGCGGCCATCAATGAAGCCTATGAGGTTTTATCGGACTCTGAACTCCGGACACGGTTCGATAACGGCGACGATCCCAACGATCCTGAATCGCAGCAGCGAGGTAATCCGTTCCAGGGCAACCCCTTTGGCGGTCAGCAGTTCTTCTTCCAACAGGGAGGCTTCAAATACCCAGGCGGATTTCGCTGATCGTATCTTTTCCTTGTAAACCATATTGGGTGTTCATGGAGTTTCACTGTGTATTTCGAATTTTAATGGTTTGGAAAATCATTTTTTTTTTATTTCAAGGCACATGAATTTGAGGCATTGTTTTTTAAAAAGAAAGAAAAAATTTTTAAAAGGATACATCGCATCGCTATCTTGGAGCATCTGTCAAAGGCACGTAACTGACCTGGAATACCTTCTCCTTGTGAATGGATCCGTCTTCCTTTTTATCAACCACCCAAATATACTGACCTCCGCCGAGACCATCCACAGCGCTCTCGTTGTCTTCCGATTCTACGGGTATGAAAAGTCTTCCGGGGGCGCGCAGCTGGTCCACTAGGGTTGAGTGAAGTTTGTCGGCCGCAGCACCAACGTGAATGGCGTCGTACGGTGCATCTTCTTTCCATCCAAGGCGTCCATCACCAGTGATGAACTTGACAGTGGAAGATTTCTGATAATCCTGGCCTTTCTTGGACTTATCCATGTTTGTGCGGGCCAGATCTGTCAGCTCGGAGATATGGTCAATGCCAATCACCTGTCCCTGGGTGCCATGGCCAGAAGAGTCGGTTACCAAGTTGGCAAGGACATGGGTCAAGTATCCTGAGCCAGATCCAATGTCCAGCACCCGAGAACCTGGTTTGAGATGATCAATTAGATACTCGCATGCATGGCCATGCATGTGTGGTGCGGATATAGTAGCACCATGTCCAATGGGCTGAGGTGCATCTGAGTACGGCCTTGATGGAGCATAATGAGCTCGATCGACCTTGATCATGTTAGAACAACCTAGATCCATACAATATCTCAATGTAAATAGGCTTACTCCTATCATGGCCTCTTTCACACGCTCATTCTGAATCAGTCCAGCCTTGAAAAGGTTCTCAATCAACTCGGTGTTGGTGGATCCGGAACAATGCCATGCCATACTTAGAGCGCGTAGTGATTTGCTGGGGGTAAATATTGGTTTGATGAAGTTCAGCATGAGCTTTTTTTGTGTGTGTGTGTGTGTGGGAGGGGGGAGGGAGGAAGGGAGGGAAGGGAGTGTTTAAATGATGGGCACTTTTCGTGATTGATTACATCGTATCTATGTCGACGGGTGTGATCCTTCTCTTTATATATAATGACGCCATGGTCTCCGCATTCACACACGTGATACTGCTTAATATACATTTCTATATAAAAGAATATCTCCATGTAATTAGAGATCTAACATACAACCGAGCCAGTGCCAATCAGTTCAACAATGACCCTAGAATCCACCCAGCACAAAGCCGGCCGAGATACAAACCCAATCAAGAAGTTTGAATGTCGCGGCTAGTCACGTGCGTGAGATATCGAAATGCCTCAACTTCAGATGCTCAACCACATCGCCGAGTGGTCGCTAAGCGCGCCGACATAATCGTCACTGGGGCCGGGAAAAAGAAAAACCAAAACTTCCGTGACATAGGGACAACATGGACTCCCTGAGCACGCTACACCTCCATTTTATCTGATTTCCTCAGCCGTTCTGACTTCAAAATGGAAGGAATTCCCAGTGTCCGAGGCACTGTGGAGCTGATGATCCTTGATTACCTGGTCTGCGTGGCTATCAGCAAGATCACAGCAGCCTTACGCATGGGACATTCCATCGAGCATATTGAGTGGTTTGTGAACATGGTTGAACGTCAGCATCCAGACATCCGCCGCAAATCATCATCTATACTGACATAACTATGGCTACTATAGTATTTCAACAGTTAATCATCAACCGGACCCTTGAATCTCCTCTCCCCTGGGATTTGGACCTTAAACTGCGCATTTTCCACCTGACCAATCTCTTTGTCCACTGGGAGCCTCCCAAAGATCGTGCACTTGGCTTCTTCACACCCCTGTCTGAGATCGGAATTCAGTTCATGGACCTCTGCCACTCTGCAATCGGCAATGTATCCAAGTCACGCTGGTTTGATCTCGGTGCCCATCTCATGGTCCATGCAATGCTGGAAGAAGACGTTCGCTTCCCAGACCAACTTCGAAGACTCTGTGCCTGGACAGTCCACGACAATGAACTTGATGCATATTGGGAGGTTAGCCGTAGTCTGGTTCTAGAGCGCATGCCATCTCCCCATGGCACAGCAGGCCCAGTCAGCCGAGAAGAGCTCGATGAGATCTTCCCTATGGATTTCCTGCACCAGCATTTTGTCGAGTTTTTTGAGGATCTCATGGAAGTTCTCGAAGTGCCTCTTATTCTTCAACTGGAGCGTGGCCAGGTCGAAGATCTGACCCGAGACGATACACGGCGGCTCCGGGGCTCTTGTGCGTTCTGATTGTCTCATTCAAAATGAACGGGAAACAAGTGGAAATAACTTCCATCAGAGGAGTCACAATGTCGTCTTGAATCGCCCTGATCACAGTATTGCTAGTACAATGTCAATTCAATCTCTTAGGAGCTATCTGCTATCATCGAGAAGAGGAAAGCATTGTACACATGAATAATAATGATAATACCCCCAAAGCCACTAAAAGATCCATCCTTGACATGTCATTTTATATCTTGGAAAAATAATAATTTACAAAGGGCACGAGCCCGCTCTAGGCACAAGAACAGCAAAGAACACGGGTTGTGTATGGAACACCAGCGTTATCTAGCAAAGCAGCATGCGCCGGGGGTCCTCAATGTACTCCTTGACCTGTGTTTGCTATTAGTATTTGGCTCAGACAGCGGAGGAGACGGGACATACCTTGACAAGGAAAGTAACGGCCTCGCGACCATCCAGGAGACGGTGATCGTAGGTAAGAGCAAGGTACATCATCTGGGAAAAAGGTCAGCAAACCGAAGAATATATGGTTGCAGTTCATATACGTACGGGACGGATCTCAACCTTGCCGTTCACAGCAACAGGCTTGTCCTTAATGGCGTGGAGACCCAAGACAGCTAGACGAAAAAAGTTAGATTCGAAGATCAACTAAAGGTACGAGGGGAACTGACCTGTCTGGGGGGCGTTGATGATTGGTGTACCCATCAGTGAGCCGAAGACACCACCCTAATTGAGTCAAGTTAGCTAATGTTGGCATGGACACCAAAGAACAGAGAACATACGTTGCTGATGGTGAAGGTACCACCTGCCATGTCTTCAATGGTCAACTTGTTGTCGCGAGCCTATTCACCGGTCAGTAAAACTGGACATAAAGATCACGCCAAGATCAATGAAGACTGACCTTCTTTCCGAGATCGGCGATGGCCTTCTCAATTCCAACGAGATCTTTGCCCTCGGTGTTGCGAACAACAGGAGTGACAAGTCCCTTTTCGGTGGCAACTGCAACACTGATGTCAACGTAGTCGCGGTAGACGATGGTGTCGCCGCCGTTAGGACCCTCAATGGAGGCGTTGACGGCGGGGATATCCTTCATGGCAAGTACACAAGCACGGGAGAAGGCGCTCATGAAACCAAGCTTCACACCGGTCTTCTTGAGCACATCATCCTTGTACAATTTCCGGAACTCCATCAGCGAGGACATGTCAACCTCGTTGAAAGTGGTGAGAGAAGCGGCGGTGTTCTGAGACTGCTTTAAGCGCTCGGCGATACGCAGACGCATGCGGTTCATTTTAACCTATGTCAAATATTAGCCAACGCCAGGACCAGGGTGGTAGATCACAACATACCCGGCGTTCCTCACGGCCACCAAGAGCTGGCTGCTCAGTGGCTTGGGATTTAGGCTCTGCCTTAGGAGCCTGCTTGGGGGGTGCGGCCTTCTTAGGTTCAGGCTCCTTGGGCTTCTCGGCTTCAGCTGGAGCAGGCGCAGCTTCCTTCTTGGGTTCAGACTCCTTGGGCTTCTCAGCACCCTCATCCTTCTTTCCTCCCTCAGGGGCGGCACCAAGCTCAATCTTGACGAGATCCTGACCGACAGTAACGGTATCTTCCTCATTCACCAGGAACTCCTTGATGATACCAGACTCGGGGGCATTGACCGAAACATCAATCTAGCGGAAAACATATGTGAGTGATAAGGCAAAAAAAGAAAACAAGTAAAAAAGAAAAAAAAAAAAAAAGACCTACCTTGTCTGTTTCAATTGTCGCAATTTCCTCATCACGCTCAACGAAATCACCGACCTCTGTAGCACAATAAGCAAGTGTCAAATGTTCACCCACAATGAAGCGCCATACGTTTCGAGAACTGCTTGAGGGTACCCTCTGTGATCGACTCGGCCATGCTGGGGACCTTAACGATGGAGTCGGCTAAGGAGTATTTAGCAACTGATCAACATGATAGCTAGGAAGGGGGTAAATTTTTTTTACCATAGGTGCGAATTTGGTTGCCTCCCAGAGGAGTGAAGTTCAGTCGCGAGACATTGATGCTACAAGGATTGCATGAGCCGGAATCGCAACGGATAGGAATGATAAAGATCCTTACCTTGATGAAGATGCCTGCAATAAACCCGAAGCTGAGCGAGCCGAAGCTTTCCGCGTGAGAGTAGACAATCCCTTGACGTTGCGGAACTGGTTTGATGCCCGAGTAGTTCTAGCCACAGCCGAGAAGCGCTGGCCCGAGAGGCGCGCAAGTGAGATTCGAGAAGCCATGGTCAAGAAAAGCAAAATGATTTCGGTTGGGAAAGTACTAAACCAGAGTTGTAGACAACACAAAAAATGAAGCTTCAACTCTATAGAAAAATTAAAGGAAGCAAAGGAGATCAAGCTCGGATTAGATCGGGACCCAGGTAAAGCGGGCGCCCTTCCGGCAGAGGCGGACTATTCTTCTTACGCTACGGGGGCGGAGAGTGACCATTCAAGCAGTTCTTTTGTCCGAACGAATTAGGAAGCCCAGAATAGTCAACCTGACGACATTGAAACCCTCACCTAGACTATTGTCTACTAAGGAACCCTTGACAATCTCTACAAAAGGTTGGCCATTCCTGATCTGAAACCCCGTCTTTCAGCATCTCAAATTTTCTTTCCTTTCCTTCCTCCTCCCTGCTGGCCGGAATTGGATCTAGGACTAGCACACAATGTCCTCCTCCGCTGTTACGTGAGTTTGCCAGATTCCCTCCCCTAGAAGATTGTCCACTGAACTGTTTGTAGCTCTCTCTATCGGCGTTCCTTGAAATTGTCCCTTGACTGGGCCGTCCACCGACAAATATGGCGTGGACAAGCGGTTTATATCCGATCCCTCTTTGAAGCCAACAAGGACGTCCGCGATCCTCGCCAGCAACAGGTATGTGATACTGGAATTTATGGTGGATGAATCTAACGTATGCCCCAGATTTTGCTGCGCGAGACAGAGAAGCTGTTAGAGACCTGGAAGCACCCTGATCCATACCGGGCACCCACTGCCCCCGGCGGCAACAAATGGGAGCGCAACCTGCCCGCCCGTATCCTGCCGTGTACGTTTCTAGCTTGATACAACTGTGAATTTGCACTAACTTTGAGGTCAAATAGACGCGCAATCCCCGGGTGCACACTAAAGCAGGAGCAATATCGCAAGGCACATGTAAATTAGGCCAATCACAAACATGAGCGATTTGTTATCTTTCGTGTCTATGTAGACTACAGAGCCAGAATCTTTTTTCTTATAAAAAGAAAAACATCAAACATTCACCATGCATAATAAAACGTAATAAATGCAATTAGATTGGGTTAAATTGGTCATACTGCATACACGGACTATAACAGTATACAGGGAAGCGAATTCAAAGTTAACACTTGAAAGTAACCTGGAGTTTTTCATTGATGTGGGCTCGTGCCCGGGGTAGTATCCGAAAGTTGAAATCCCTCAACAAGTTAAGGTCGTCGGTATCATTCCATGTCCGTAGACATAATGTACAACCAGGAAATTGATGTAAAAAAAAAATAAAGAGAAAACGCAGAGCCATAACGTGCCCGTCCCATAACCCCATTATCGTGTCAAAGAACCAATCCGCGCCGGAAAATAGAAAACAAACAACCCGCGAAAAAGAGAAACAGCTTTACAGCTCCTGGCTGCCCTTGCCGGCCTTGGGGGTCTTCTTGGGGAGAAGGTCTGGATATGATGTTAGTATGGAAACGACAGGGGAGTCGGTGGAAACAACGTACTCTGGTGGATGTTGGGGAGAACACCACCCTGGGCAATGGTGACGTGACCCAGAAGCTTGTTCAACTCCTCATCGTTGCGGATAGCAAGCTGGAGGTGGCGGGGAATGATACGGGTCTTCTTGTTGTCGCGAGCAGCGTTGCCAGCCAGCTCGAGAATCTCGGCAGCCAAGTACTCGAGAACAGCGGCGAGGTAGACGGGGGCACCAGCACCGACACGCTGGGCGTAGTTGCCCTTGCGGAGGAGACGGTGAACACGGCCAACGGGGAAGGCCAAACCAGCCTTGGAGGAACGGCTGGAGAAACTGATGTCAGTATGAGGAGTATAGAAAGACGCGAAATGTAAACAACTTACGACTGCGCGTTCTTGCTGCCGCTAGCCTTGCCGCCGGACTTTCCGCCAGTCATTTTGATGGTTGGATTTGAAAAAAGAGGGGGATTGGGAAGTGAGAAGTGTGTTGAAGTTGGAGGTAATGAAGTTGGGTTATGGTGGAAAGTCGCAAGAGCAGGTGGCAGAGCGTGTGGAAGCGGAGGACCTTTATAAGGACGCGGTGAGGGTGACGTTAGGCGGCATCAATGGCCCTCCAGATCACGGTCTCGCTTAGAACGTTCGACCAATGATCAATCGGATCAGACATTCCACTTTGGGAATGGTGTGGTAATATTGGGGCGTTACCATACCGAACAGCTGGCTGAGAGTGATCTAACCCCACTTTCTCCGCATTAAGACGCGTCAATGTCCGTTTCACAATACAGATCATACCAGATCATTACTGTACTGAAATTCGGCCTCCTTTGCACCCCCCAGGATCAACTGGTTTTTGGAACACGAGTATAAAGACGGTGTCTCCCCTCGTCACCGCGTCTCTCTTACTTTTCCTTCCCCATTCCATCTCCGTTTCCCATCCACACGCCTCGTCTATCTTCACTTACAACTCTTAACCCTTTTTTCCCCTCTTTTTTCCCAACCTTCAAAACCACATCAAAATGCCCCCCAAGGCCGCTGAGAAGAAGCCCTCCACCGGTGGCAAGGCCCCCGTTGGCGGCAAGGCTCCTGCTGAGAAGAAGGAGGCTGGCAAGAAGACTGCCTCCGCTTCCACCGGCGAGAAGAAGAAGCGCGGCAAGACCCGCAAGGAGACCTACTCTTCTTACATCTACAAGGGTACGTTGTCTCCTCAAACCCCCCCCCTCCCTTGGGCAATAACACAAAAAGCGCGTCCATACTAACTTCATCTATAGTCCTCAAGCAGGTCCACCCCGATACTGGTATCTCCACTCGTGCCATGTCCATCCTGAACTCTTTCGTCAACGGTAGGTTCCCACCTCAATAACGCGTTTACGCGTCACGTCACGTATTCTAACTTTGATTTCCTTCTGTAGATATCTTTGAGCGTGTCGCTACTGAGGCCTCCAAGTTGGCTGCTTACAACAAGAAGTCAACTATCTCTTCCCGGGAGATCCAGACCTCTGTGCGCCTCATCCTCCCCGGTGAGCTGGCTAAGCACGCCGTCTCTGAGGGCACCAAGGCTGTCACCAAGTACTCTTCTTCCGCCAAATAAGCTGGCCTTTTTTTTACGTTTTCTTTCGAGCTTGCTTTTTGTTTTACTGCCTCTTGATCTGTTCTGGGCTCTCTGAGGCGGTCGGTTATGGGTGTTTTACGGGTTTCTAATGCGTCATGGGATGGCTTGAATTTTCTTTTCCCCGATGGGTGATTTTTTTTTTGAATGGTTACCACTCGATACGTGAATGCGATGTAACATAACTCGGGTCTGGGGCAGGCATGGATTGGCCTCCCCTACTAGAACGCGAAATTCCAAATGCTTGATTGCATTGCATCATGATTCTATCTCTCCATTCTTGGTAAACTAATCACTGAAATCATCGGTAATCTTTGCAATTTCCTATTCTGTCTTACTCCATTTCATCTGAATCGTCCAGCGCCTCAACTTCATCAAGAGCCTCAGCGCGGCCATAGTCACGGTCTGGCCGGTGCTGGCTAGGAACTATGTGAACGATGGGTTGCCGTGGCGTTGATTGGATCCGTTTCTTCCAGTCAATCCAGTCATCTTCATCCTTGATGAGGAACCCGATCAGCATGCTAGGGTCCATGTCCTTGATATGGATTCTTCGTAGTCGGTTGGTGTAATAGCTATCCAATTCCTCTTGGGTGTAAAGCTCATCTGGTCGATATGCTGTTGCAGGTCGAGTGGTATGGGGATCGAGGAAGAAGAGGTAGGAATCTTGAGCTCCTACGAAATAATGCGATGCCGATGGGCGTCCACTATTTTTGCTTAGCGCGCATTTCATGTCGTGGGGTGAATCAGCAGGTCATCCATGTCTTACCCTGCGATGCCGACCGATTGGGGATATGTCAGTGCAGCTCGTAGTCCATCCCAATACGCCGGAGTGACATGATCGATCCCCAATCGGGTTCCAATCAAAACGAGTGTCGGCTGAATTCTGCCTGATTTGTCGTGAGCCACATGTGCAAAGTTGTCCTCGTAGACATCCGATGTGTCATTAGTTACATAGACTCTGAGCTGGGGACAGGCGGTTTGGGTTGAAAGCAATCTGTTGCCATCAGCATAATTCGACATTTCTTGTGTTGATGCCACACACTGGATACATTTCGCGGTCGCGGAAGGTCCAAACCATTCACCTGGGTATTTCCCACATGATTCTGCGCCGCTGTTGACAAATCGATGTATTGAGAAGAGGGCATCTGGGTGGTCGGCGAACATTGATATTAGCTTTGACTCCTCTTCCACTTTTTCCCCTCGGCGCCAATCTATAACGGAGGATTAGTTCTATCTGTTCTGGACACATTTTGCCATACATCTCTTACCTCGACCCAGCAATAGCACCGAGAATGTATTCGCCAGAAGGCTTTGTCCGGACCTAATCATGCAGCCCCACCCTGTATCTGATGTAAAGCCTCGAGGGTCCATCAGTTGACTTCTCAAGCGTACTCCTAGTGTCATTGAGGATGTTGATTCCGGCGTTTTTGTTTGAGGTATTGGCGTGAAGTTTGATCTGTATGTTATCCATATCCTCGACCCAAAATCAGAGACGAATGCCTTCGGCCATGCCGTGTCATTTGAGGTGCTAGCATCAAGTTGCCATGAAGGACTGCGCTTGCTGTTGGCTATTTTGATGTCAGGAGCGGGTTATGAGTGGTGATTCGATGTTCAATTTAACAAAACTCACTGGCCTCGTCTCTGGTGAGTTGCTGGGGGGAGTACTCTTTGCCCAGGCACCATATCGTCGCTTCGGGTGCGTCATTTCTGGGTTCTGGGTCCCAGAAATATTGCACTATGCGTTTGCATTTTTCCATGTCGACAGTCATGGCTGGGGTTGGCTCTGCAGTTCTGTTGTGGTTATGGTATGGGTAGTGATTGGAAGGGTGATCAGATATATATATCCGAACTATATTGGGAACTTCAACCAAAGAATTAACATTGCCAATTTTGATTATTCAAGGCATCCAAAGAAGAAGAAAAGATGCGAAACCGACAGGATAAAAGCTCCACACACAAGAAGCCGAAGCTCCCTTTCTCCCAGAGTGAGGGGTTTGTAGTCACGAGCCAAGACGTCACCGGACTACCTGGGACTTTGTATGCAAAGCACAAACCCACAGGTGGAAATTGCCTTTAGATCGAAAACAACGAGTATCTCAACCAAAAGAGAGAGAGAGGAAAGAGAAAGAAAGCAGAGTAAAGAAAAGAAAAGAACACATAACCATGGACCTTTGGACACATTCACTTAGCTCCAGGCCCAAAATGGAGGAAAAGTACACATAGTCACCGCCCGCATCCCGACCCCAAGGCAAAGATCGCCCCAGACATTGAATCATTTCTTATCCACAGATCCTAGTATACCATGGCCCGCCATGGGAAGTCCAAGGCCCGTACGAAGAAGGCCCCAGTTGGCAGAGGTAATGATATTCATTATTCTATTTCGACAATTGCTAATTATGAATATTTTTTTTTTTAAAAAAAAGGCAAGGGAAAAGAAAAAGAAAAAGACCAACTGCGACATCAGCTTACTATGCAACAAGAAGCCCGAAATACTGAAACACATCATCGACTATGGTCAGATAGCAACCTGCGCCACAAGGCGGTTTGTTTTGTGAGCGCCGGGAGCCTGGAATCGACATTAGAACAAGAAGACGCGCATCCGACAAAATCAACTGCTGATCGGGAAGAACCAGAAAACGACAATATACCAGACAAAAAGGGAAATGACACAGATATCCTATTCGTTTTCGACTCGAAAGGAGAAGGAGGTGCTGATACCGGGCACCCGGACCCAGTATTGCAGTTGAACTCGACAGACATGGATGACACCAGCGAGGATGAAGTTGTGTTCACGGGTCGCAGAAATAATGCAAGACCCATTCTCATGGAAACCCATCGGAACGAAATTCAAGACTTTCTCGACACGAGTACCGCTGTATTCTCACAGACAGCACACATACCAACGCTGGACGACACGCCTCGGGACTCATCGCCTGCAGCTACCCCCACAGGCCACACTGAATCCGACACAGGGAGAGCATGTTGGCCACCGGAAGAAGATATCGACCCGCTGGCTGACTACATTGCCAACATCGACAATGAATACCACGAGGAAGTGATATCTAGTGCAAACCCTGACCTAGAATGTGGCATTGACGTCGAAAAAGCGGCAATGCAACTGGATCTTTCGTCCTCGACCCCTCCAGGATCCAAAATCGATTCACTAAGATCGTTCGCTCAAATACAAATAGACACTGGACATGATTCAACCTCAATATCGAGCCCAGACGACGAGGATGAGATAGCCCTCTCTGGATCTGATGGCGATGCCCTCGAGGAGTTTGATCTGCTCGAGGACCTTATCCATGACTATCCCGGGCCTGGCAGGAAGTGTATTCGCTCTGGAAACCCTTCATTCCCATCGGCATCGGCATTTGCGGATGCTCTCGAGTCTGACCCGTACTTTGGCTTTGATATAATGGACTTTGATCGACCAAGCCTACGGAGGAAACCAAAGGGCAAGCAGTCCATCCCTGATCTGGTATCATCCGGCAGTGAATTCGAGATTGAGATCCAGGAGGCCTGGCAGAACGACCGAATCAAAAAGAAGCTACGGAAAAAAGAGCGAGAAGAACTCCGGGCGCAGGGTTTGCTGGGTAGAAAAACTGGGAATCCAGACCTCAAGTCCAAGTACTCCAAAGAGATGAACATGGAGGAACTCATGACCGAGCTTCGATCATTCCTTTTGTCCGCCAAAAATAGGTTCGTTTTATACGCTTTCATTCCCATCAACATATCTCTAACTTGACCTAGCCTGGCCTTACCGCCAATGACCAAGCAACGCAGAAAACTGATACACGAGCTGGCCAATGCATTGAATTTAAAATCACAGTCACGCGGCCATGGAGTTTCTCGCTTCCCCCGTGCTCAACAAGACTGCGCGCACTCCGAGATACACATCGAAGACCATTTCCAATGTCGATGAACTTTTATCCGGCAGGAAGTTTAATCGTCGGCTGTTTAGATCTTGGGGTGCCGAAGCCCCAAAGTTCTCCCAAACTAAACGGGGGAAGTCTGGTGCGGCTTCTTACATGGATGGTGATGTGGTGGGTGCCTCAGCCCCGGAGATCGGGGCGGAAAACCGAGGACGGGCCATGCTGGAGAAGATGGGGTGGAGTTCTGGTACTGCGCTGGGTGCTGCAGACAACAAGGGGATCTTACAGCCTGTTGCGCAGGTTGTGAAGAACTCGCGGGCTGGACTAGGTTAGATGTTTGGTTTTATGCTACAGACAATAGAATTATAAAACTCAAGGGACTTTGATTCATTTCGTTTTCAGTAAGCCCCGAGGATGCGTTATCACGGTTTTCTCCCCTTCTTGGCAACTGATCCCACCAAGGGTTGTGCGTGGTCAAGATCCCTAATGTGATCAAACAATTTAGATTTCGATGTGAAGGAAGCTTGGCAATTTGCGCAAACAAACCCTGTGGATTGATTCGCCTGTTTGGCGGCCTTTTTTGCCCGTTTCAGCTTGGCTTTGCCCATCTTGAGAGCCGGTGACTGCCCAGTGAGACCAACCGAGGACGCTTGATTAGGGACTTCGAGATCTTCGAGACCCGTAGACAGAGAATCCATGTCGGCGCGGAGCCTCGTCTCGACATATTCCCTGGAGGCATAGTCATTGTCCGAATCCGTTTGGGGGCTTGAATCAATAAGAGGAGGAACTGTTTGATCTAGACTGTGCGAGCTTCCTTGCTCCTCAGTATCTGTGTCGTGACCCTTCAGGGAAGTATTTGCTAACGGATTGGCCATGGGAGCAACATGACCTCCATCTTTGTCATCGCCAACCTCAAGAGGCTGGATGAGACCTGCATTGGTACTCAAGTCATCGGCAGATTCCAAATCCAATTGGTCGTTCTGCATTCGCATCTCCCAGCACAGTTGTTTGACTGCCTTCAAATGCTTTTTACTACGTTCGTGCGCCTCGTATTGCTTCTGGCTTTTGAAATATTTGTGACATACCACGCATTCGAAACTCTCAACTTCGCTCTCTTCGCTCTCCTCGTCATCTGTGACAGGTCGTTCCGATTGGGCCCATTCAGGGAGAACATGATCACGCATCTTAGCTTGATTAATGGCTCGCGATCTTGCAGCTTGTGCAGCTGCGGACTGACGGAGGGTTTCCTGGCGTTGTGCTTCACTCTGGGTATTGACTTTATACCGCGGGTCACGCTTTTTGACAAAGGCCACGAGAGACCTGACAGCATCGTTGAATTCTCGGATACCCTCCTCCCGAAGTCGTCTGTTTTCCTTTTCCATCATTCGTCGCACCCGACGATCGGGGGCTTCAGAATAGCGATGGACATCCTTCCATGCAAATGACTTTTGAGTGGAGAACCCGGTCCATGCAGCATAGAAGGGTCGTACAACGTCCTCAAAATCATCATTAACAGACCCGAATGATGGATACTCCATAGGATCTTGATTTTCCCACTGGCAGGCGAGTCTTTCTTCTAGCGCAAGTTGCTCAAACTGTTCTCGCAGACCACCGAAGAATCCGGTTGGGGCATCAGAGAAATCCATTCGAGGATTGAATTTTGAAAAAAGTTTGAGGACATCTTCAGCTGTTGTGATTCGGACATTATATGAGTGTTGATCGTTGGTACTTCCGTTGGTCCCTAGAAACGCGTCGCTATGGGAATCGTACCATGCCCGTTCCTGGGGATCAGCCAGTACTTCGTAGGCGGACTGGATTTCAGCAAACAGCTGGGTGGCTTCGTCAACATTTCCATAATTTCGATCTGGATGCAGCACAAGAGCTTTCTTCCGATATGCTTTCTTGATTCTAAAAAGTCAGACAAATCTTCCGTTACGTCCATATGGATTGGGGCATGTGGACATACTCCTCATTCGACGCACCGCGTTCTACACCGAGTAGCTCATAGTAATCAGTCTTCTGGTTTGAATTTTCTGGAACATCGGAGCTCGTTTGACTTGTGGAATGAAATTGACCCATGGCGGGGGGAGAGGGGAGGGGAAGAGAGAGAGAGAGAGAGAGAGCGCGTGTGTGTGTGTTTGTGGTGGGGTATCACGAATAGCTGCAAAAATCGCCCACACGTAAGACCAGACCTCAATAATATAGAGCAGTACTGTCAAGGAAGATCTAGAGTTGTAACTTCAAGGTTGGGAGTGATACTGTTGGCCTGCATGCAAAAGAAAAGAGGGAAGTAATGCAGTGGAGTTCGAATCTCGGCACGAGGATAAAGATAAAGTCGGGGGGAAACCTCTCCATGCCAATTCCCGAAGCCCCCAAGGACACAAAGGGAAAGAGAGGGCTGAGGACGGAAGAGAGTAGAGAGGGAGCGCGCATAAACCCATAATGATCGGATCTTGCTTCTGGGGGATTTTGACGTATATATCTTTTTTTTTTCTCGCTCTTTATTTGGACTCTTTCTTCGGAATTGAGGAATGTAAAGTAGCTGTGTTCTTTTCTTCCCACTCCCCTGATCTTCTTCCCTTACAACATCACCAATCTTCCACCTTCAGGGATGGTTCGGTCTTTAATCCATCTTCCAGACGAGATCCTGAATTCAATTCTATGTTACTCCTCTCCACAATCGTGTGTCGCCGTTGAACAAACCAACTCTCGATTTCGAAATGTAACGAATGAACCTCTACTATGGCGTCACCATTGCCAGTCGCATTATAGGTTTTGGGATGGACGGCATGATATACACCAAAGGCTTGCCTACCCAGTGAACTTCACCGATTGGAAGGCGCTCTTCGTATCCAAACACCAGGTCGATCGCTCTGTCACTCGGCTTCTCGATAGTATTATTGGTAGCCAGACGGGCCGGATCGAAAAGTTTCGCCGCGTCATCGAACTGGGATACGATGCAAAAGATACTATTTTGCGACATACTCAAGTAGAGTCCGGGGATGATCATTTGGCTAGAAGGTGGGCTACTGATTCTATGCGAATTTGTATGTGTTTTTCCCTTGAATTGACCAGTGCCTTGTGCCAACCACAAAAGGTACTATGCCCGCGCGCTCTTGACTTGCCTGCACCGAAGCATTGCCATACCGGAATGGGCAAAGCTCAAACGTGGAGATCCCGTGTCACTTGACCGAGCGTTAGGCTGCTTTGATCTCTTTATATCCGAAAATGGAACTGAGGATTTGAATGAAGTATGTCTGATCCCATAGTAAACCTTTGCCAAGTCCGTGTTTGACTATGATCTAGATACGAGGTTCTCTCGATGGAATTCTCAAACGCTTTGTCGCGTCTCATCCTGACCTTGACCTCTTCACGCCTCGTCAGAAGGCACGGGCTATAGCATCATGGCTAAGTGCGAATGGTCTCACAGGCATCGATCCGCAACGAGAATACCATTCTTTGGAGCACAATTTCTTAGGGATGGCCTTGAAAAGTCCAGGTCATAATTCTCTGCCCTTGGTGTCGGCTGCGATATACTGCTTCGTCGCCCAGGGAATCGGTCTAGACGCCCGTCCTTGTGGATTTCCATTCCATGTGCATGTGATCGTTAACCCACGGCCAGGCTCAGACATGGACGGCAATGCATTGTTCAGAATAGAGCCAGGGGAGCCCCTTTATTTGGACCCATTTCGCGGCGGAATGGAGACTCCAGCATCGAGCCTGCGAGACCAATTGTCCTTCTTGGGCATGTCCAATATGGATCAAAATGCAACTTTGGGGGCAGCCTTGACCTCGAGTCTTGTCTTGCGCTGTGGTAAAAACATATTGAACTCAGTCCGTGCGGAGCCTCGAAATCCCACTCTCCACACTACTGCCATAGATGTCATGAGCGCAAAGTATGCAGCGCTCTGGTCTGTGATGCTGCTATCTAGTGATTCACAGCCGATGGATCTACGACATCAGTTGCCATGGCTTATGGAACTATTCGCTGCGGACTTTCCTTCTGATATATTTCTAGTCGAACAGTATATTGCTCCTCTGTTTCTCGGCTTGTTTGAGCATGAGCATATACTAGAGAGCCTTCATGTGATGAAAGCTGTGGATGGGATCCCAAAACAGGTCCGGAGGCGAAGCCGCGGTAACGCAAATGTACAATACCTAGTGGGTCAGGTTTTCCGGCATCGTCGCTATCACTACGAGGCTATCATTACTGGCTGGGACTCAGAATGTGGCGCAGGTGAACAGTGGATGAGAAGGATGGGCATTGATCGATTAGAAGCTGGTAGGCACCAGAGCTTCTATCATGTGCTGTGAGTAGTGTGGTTTGTGTCCTCTTCGTGGCTAATAGTAGGTTAATAGGGTGGCTGATCGAAGTGTCCGATACGTGGCCGAAGAAAATATTGAAGTAATTCTTCCTCGGTTCGCAGACTTGCCAAGTGGTTTGATTGCTATTGCGGGTAAGCATTTTAAACGGTGGGATCAGAGGAAGAAGATGTTTGTGAGTAATATGAAGGATGAATACCCTGATGATTAGTGACAAAACTGAACTTTTGTGTTTGTTTGGATACCGCTTAATTCTGCCTATTATGCTGATTTGTGTTATCTAGTTTATACGGTGCCTGCTTCTAGAACCTTGGATAGTATACCCTGAGGTCCTGAGAAGTAACGTAGAGTGGAATAGAAAGAAAACTAGGGTTTTCTATGCAAAGAAATACTAGTTATGGGGCTAGCACCTATTATTCAGGCAAGTAGGACAGATGGAGGAGAAGAACATATAGACCTCTGTAATGGGCTTGGTTCGGCCCTACCTTCGAAGCCTAACCAAGCCCACGGCCCATTAATGGAGGCCTGTAAGGCCCCTAACAACGCCCATTTATATGTACATATAAACACAGTCTTAGCGCTTATAAACCTGCTAATTAGTGTCTATTATTTATAGGGTGTTAGTCCTGCAACCCCCCCTAAGTGTCCTAAAACCCCCTGATAGAGATGATCCTATACGACTACTCATAAAAAGGAGTGGACTAGAAAATCTTGTATTGTGCGTAGAGAGAGAAAAGGAAGAAGAAGGAAAACTAGCTAGACTAATGTACTAGGAGATCACGTGTCTTCGTAACACCCCCCACGACTAGTGCTATAGTCGTAAACTGTCTGATTCTGTCCAGCTCTCTCTATTTTGAAAAAACCAGTATTCTTTTTGAATGTATTCAGATAACCCCCCATTTTTAGTATGAAAATCAAAAAAAAAAAACTAACGTTTAACGTTCAATCAATATTATAGATAGTCAGTCCTAGCTACGTAACGAACCTTTTAAATATAATCTTCCTAAGGGGTTTGGTTAGTCTATTAGCTGCTATCTCAGTAGTAGGAATCTTAATAAAATTCACTATACCTACTATAACTTCTTCACGAAGTCTATAGTATCTAATAGTAATATACTTAGTATTAGTATAAAATTTAGGGTTAGAAGCTAGTATAATAGCACTATTATTATCCGTATAAATAGGAATAGGCTTCTAAAAGAGTCCTAAAATACTAATTTCTATTAATAACTAAATTAGCTAAATAGCTTCCTACGTAGTAAGAGCCTCTATAATATATTTAGACTTAGTAATAGATAATGCTATATAAGCTTACTTTTTAGAAGTCTATAAGATAGCTCTACCCGCTATTTTAAATATAAAACTAGATATTAAGAGACCCTTTTCGCTATATAGACCCGTTTAGTCCGTATTATAAAAGCCGAAAAGAAGGTAGTCTCTAATTCTAGTATAATAATTAATAGAGTTATATTTCGTAAACGGATAAAAGTAAATTATAAGATACTTAGTACTAGTAAGGTAACGAAAAACTCGTTTTAACGCTTTAAAATAGCTAGTATCTAGGTTTTTAGTATATTTCGTAAGCCTAATAATAATAAAGATAATATCTAGTCTTATAGAGACTATTAGTTAGATTAGAGTCCTAATTTTTATCTAAAACTCCTTAATTTTAATTTTTAACGTAATACCGTTAAAAATAATAAGGGGTATTTTCTTATCTATTAGGGTAGTAATTAGTTTATAATTTTTAAGACTAAAGCGGGTAAGAATCTTATTAATATAGTCTTTCTAAGAGAGATAGATAAAACTATTATTATAATCTCTACTTTTTCTATAGTATATATTAATTATAAAATATCTTTTAAGGACTCCTTTATTAGAAGTATTAAAATATCTTAAAATAGCGACTTTAAAGTCCTTAATCTCTTAATCTAATAGGGATGTAACTAGTAAATCGTTAATATAAATTATAATATATAACGGAGCCCTACTATACCTAATAAAGATAGAATAATCTAACTAAGTGCGAGTAAACCCTATAGATTGTGACGATCCACGTCATATGTCTTATTTACTATCTCCTAGATTGTTTACTAGTTTTCCTTTATCTCTTGTTTGATAGCAAATATTACTAAACCTATTTAGGATATATAGGTTTGATTAGTTTATAAGAGATAGGGTATAAAGCTTTGTCTCCTACTAGATCTCTCTCTCTTCTTTCCCTATCTTTAGTTTTCTCGTTATTATACTCGATTCTCTCGTAGGTCGACTGGCAGGTGACATCTTATATAATATCGATAGGAAAAGGCGCGGATAATATTAATATCTCTATATAGATCTTAATAGCCTATTTATTATTATCTATAAAAGATCTATTAAACGAAAGTGTATAAATATTAGTAATTATACCTAGATACCTATAGGTACTAGATACTAGTGCTTCTAAATATATTTATAGCGATAAATTAGCCTTTTTAATACTCGAGAAATATAGAAATAGCTAAGAATATAAATAGTAGACTTTAGGAAATAAAAAAGTTAAAGATAAGGCTTATAGTAATATTAAATTAAGCCTATACTAAGATTAAAAATATACTAATATATATTAATTAACTATTTACTACGTCTATCACGCTAGTAACTAATATAATCTTTTCTCTCTCGGAATAGCTAAGAAAGATCTTAGTATATAGTAGGATAGTAAAATTAAGATTTTATATAATAAAAATAATAAAGTTATTAGTTTTATACGAGACTTTTATTGCGGAGCGAAGCGAAGCAATTAAATCATAGGCTTCGTATATCACGTGACTAGGCCTATCTACCTACGGGTCCGAAATCCATAGTTCTAATGTTATCGGTGAGAATCGGCAGAATAATTACTAGCCATTACTATAGTAGGGGATAGAGAGGGCTAGGGTATATCGGGTCACGTGATCTACCTAGAGTAAGAGCTAGGGCGGGCTAAGTAGTAAGGCGTACTATAGCGCGGAACTACCCTAGAAAGCCCCTACCCCCCCCCCCCCGGTAGGGGGGGGAGGATTTATTCCTTAACTAGGAAATACTAAGCTTATAAGAGAGGAAGAGAGGAAGATATATAAAGGAGAGTAGTTTGATTTACATTTCGTCTATATGACCTCGGACCTAGTCGCTTCGCTCCGCAACTATTATCCGACGGCCGTAGGCCGTCGGGATCGCTAGTAGAGTTCCTTTTTTATAACTAGTATTATCTACCGGTTTAGAAGCTATATTAATATCTACGGAGCTAGCCTATAGAAGATTAGACTATATAGGTAGCTATAAAACTCGACTAAATTAAGTAGATCTTAGATATAATATTAAAAATTCTAGACCTTTTAACTATAAAGCCTATAGTCTTAGAAAGTCTAAAAGGATTATATCTAGAATAAATTAAGCTTATATAATAAGAGCTAGATATTTCTTTTATATAGATCTATAATCTATTTAACTAGCCGGATATAACTATAAAACTAGTAAAAATAATAGAAATTATATAATAGTTATTATAGATAATATAACTCGTTATCACTTAGCTCTTTACTTAGCTATAAAAGGCGAAGTATCTCTAATTTTATAGAGATTTATAAGAGAAATATACTAGAAAATAGGCTATTAGCCTATAGAATAGAGAATCGACGGAGGTCGTAAGTTTTATACTTTTATAAAATAGGTAAAAACGAAGATAATAGAAGTAACTCTATTAACCCTATATATATAGGGGATTATTAATCTAACTATCCCTACTCCTAATCTAACTACCCCTACCTAAATTTTTAGGCTAGGTCCCTAGTTAATACCTAATTAATAACTAATTTTCTAGGGTTCTTTAAACTCTCCCTAACCGCCTTTCTCGCCGCCTTTATACTAAAATTATAGAACTATAAGCTTAATACCTAAGAGTTTTAGGTACCTAAATTCCTAAAAGGGAAGTAAAGAGGCGAGGTTAATTATTTAATAGGTATTATTACTTTAGAAATTAGCGCGTTTTCCGATATAAAAGGATATCTTTTACTATATAAACTTAAATTCTATAATCTAGGAATTTAGGTAGTAGAAAATAAGGGATTATATAATATTTAAGTAGTAGAAAAAAATATATTTAGAAGTTATATAATTATTTAGGCATTATTAGGTATTAATATCTAAAGATTTAGGTAGGGGTAGTTAGATTAGAAGTAGGGATAGTTAGATTAATAATCCCTTAGATCTATTATCTTTCCTACTAGAACTAGAAATACTATTATAAAGAATATCTCGTCGAACTACTAGATAACCTATAGTAAGATATAAAGATAAAGACTAGGAAAGATATAGTAGAAGAGTATAACTAGTATTAAACGTAGAAATACTAGTATCTCCTAACTAGAATAATATATATAGTATTATTAAACTCTTATTAGTATTAAAATTATAGAAAATTAAAATCCTACGAAATTATAAAGAAGCTAAAAAGTCTATAGAATAGGAAATTTAGTAAAAGGTAATAGATAAGTAAATTAGTAAGCTAGAAGCTACTAATACCTATTAAATTATTAATATACCCCTAAAAGGTAGTACTATTCTACTAGGAAAATAGGTATATAATATTAAATACGATAAGGAAGACTTTATTATAGAATTCTATATAAGATAGGTTATTTACGGAAATAGATAACGACCCGGTTTCGATTTTAATAATACTTATATACCTATTATAAGGCCTAAAAGTATAAGATTATTTTTAACGATAGTATAAATAAGAAAACTAGTATAGTAATAAATCGACTATATAACTATATATCTTAATATATTAATAGACGGAAGATATATTTTTATAAGATCTCTATCTAGGTATAAAATACTAGGAATAGTATATATATTAAATTAAGTACTTTATAGATTACGCTAGTTAGTAAATCTATAGTTTAAAACTATTAAGAAAGAACTTATTAAAAAATTATAATTTTAATAACTACCTAACGAAAAGTATATCTTTATTAATACTAAGCGAGACCTATAGTTACTACTATATATAGATAATATACTTTATATAGTATCTTTAATAACTATAATTAACTAGTTTAAATAATCTATTACCTTTAAAATTAAGGTAATAGGGGAGCTAGTAAGATTTTTAGGATATATTATTTTAAGATCCTAAATTAGTATCTTTATTAACTAGGGAGCTTATATAGAAGACTTAATTTAAAC